GGGGGGGGGGGGGGGGGGGGGGGGGGGGGGGGGGGGGGGGCACGCTGATGTAACTGGATGCGTGGGCTTATTGACGAATCATGGATTCTCCTGACTCTCATGCCGCTTCAGAATGCGTGGGGCTATAACGAGGCTACATCGGAAGAGGATCTGCTGGCGAGATTGGAAGGGCTCGTCAGCGCCGTAGTCGACTCGCCGCTACATATCGACGGCTACGTGTACACGCAGACGGCAGATATCGAGACGGAGGTGAGTCGTTGCGACCGAGGACCGCGCTATCGGTGCCGATTCGTGATGCTCAATGGCCTCTGCTCTGCGCAATTTTCGTGAAGGTCAATGGCCTGCTCACCCCTCGACGCGAATGGAAGGTGGACCCGGCAAAGCTGAAGGCTGTCTTTTCGCGTCGTCCAGATCCTGCAAAGGTGGCTTGTTGACCTTTGGCTCAGAGCCTTTGAACAGCATGTACCAAGGTGGTGGGTTTGTATCCATGTCACGCGCACGATGAACAATAGTCAATTCGATTTATGGACCTGGAGGTACGTGGAGAAGAGTGAAATGCTCTGAAGCTTTCTCGTGCGGATGAGTGCCGGCCGTGTCTGCCGGTGCGAGACGCACGGCTACAGCATGCATGCGAGCAGTGTTCAAAGCTGCAATACAAGCGAAGGTCTCGGAGCTGCCTTGGACGTGATCGTGCAGCCCCTCGCCAGGAGAAAAAGTCCTGGGCCTTGCAGCAGCGGCGAAGGTGTGGTGGAACTGGGTGAAGCCGCGTGGGTTTGTGCCTGGGCGCCCGCCCACGCAGCACCTCATGCAGTATGCGGAGAGAAAAAGCTTTGGCGATGAGCGCAGCGCAGCGCCACGCCACGCCCGGCCCTTAATTTCGTTGAAAAGGCACGCGGCTTCTCGATCGTCCCCAAGCGGGGACACGGCGAGAACATATCTCCGCTGTTCCAGTGCCCGAGGGTACATTTCCGCGCTTTCCGCATGAAAAGGCCCGCGCACGGCCAATCGTTCTCCGATCGTGACAGGCTTACGATGTTCCTCTTCCCTCCCCCTCTCTCATCCCTACCTACTTTTCCATGCATGGGTATCATCGCTCGATTGGCTTTGCAGGGAAGCGACGAAGCGGCACGTTTAGTAGCTTCGCAATGCTTTGACGCTTTGGAAGCAGCATTCATCGTGTCACTTCTCATCCAAAGACCCGTCATGGTCGTTCGTCCAGCGCGGCGTCGGCGGGCTTTTCATTCTCGCGCTCGCTCGCACTGCTGGCCTCTCGTCTAGTCTGATGAATTGATTTAATTTGCGATGTTTCGCGACGTGAAGATCTGGCAGGTTGATGCATGCAGCGGACCTTCTCTTGGAGCGCTACAGAACCTGCCTGCTGCTGGTCTTGTATGTATGCGCACCCGTACCCTCGCACTCATCAGACTCGAAAGTTTACCACTCGGGGAACTGCATCAGTCAGCTGCACGGACGCTTTGAACACAGAGCGCACTCCTGGGCTTGAAACACTCGTCGCTGTTCGCTGGCATGCTGCCGACGGGGCGTTTGTCGTCTTCGACTCGTCAACTGGCACACATCTACGGTCTTGTACGGTACGCTGACCGTGGCACGGTGAAGGGGTGCGGCGCGACATGAAAGAGCTAAGGAAAAGTTGCGTCAGAAACAAGCGAAGCGCGCGATCCGAGTATGGTCTAGCTGCGATCCGTCATCGTATTCTTAGCCAAAGGACGATCAGCTTAGTCTCTCGGCTTGCAGCACGCGGCATGAGGCCAGACGTTGTGATTGCTGGCAGCTATTTACCGCACACCTCGTACATCTGCCCTCTCCGCATGATCTTGATGGGCGTGAGGGGATGCACGATTGAGAGTCAGTCGGCCATCCTTGCTCTCGGCGGATGCGTGAAAGCAATGGTGAACACATGTATTTCCCCGCATGCTTGCAAGCACAGCACGCGTTTCCCCAGATCAGCCTGGCTCTTTTCATTCTTTGCCTTGCTTTGCCCTCCAATTGCCCCCCCGCTGCTCTTCACTCACTTGACCGCACACACTCACTTCACCCTTGCTCTCCCTTACGCTCTACTGTTCCATCCCTGATCTCCTTCGTCCAAGTCTCGGACTTCTTGGGTTCTCTTTTTCCTCCCCAACCTCCCACCTCTTCCTCGAAATCTCCTTTCCATCACCACATTTCCCCCATCCACTAGACGTCGATGATGAAGCTTTCTCTTTCCCTCTCCGTGCTCGGAGCGGCCTTTCTCTTGGCCAGCTCGACCGTTGCTGCGCCGCTTGAGCAACGCGCGGCACTGCCTGTCCCACCCACCGGTGCTGATCCAGCAATCACCACCCGCCAATCGGTGCTCGACGCCGCCATCCAATGTCCCTGGGAGCCTAACCAAAGCTTCGCAAACGTCAAGAAACCCTTGCTCCTGATTCCGGGCACTGGAAACACGGGTGCTCAGACGTACGAGCACAACTGGAAATTCATTGGAAAAGCGCTCGGCTTCGATCCTTGCTGGGTCTCGGGTCCCAACCAAATGCTTGCCGACAGTCAAATTGCCGCCGAGTACGTCTTCAATGCCGTCGACAGGCTCTACGCAGCCAGCGGCAACAAAAAGGTTCCCGTCATGGCATGGAGTCAAGGGAACCTGGTCACCCAATGGGTGTTGACCTTCTTCCCTAGCAGCAGAGCAAAGGTGGATAGATTCGTCGCCATGTCTCCAGACTTCAGGGGCACCTTGACCTCCTACACCCGAGCCCTTTCTCCCGCTGGACCGTCGATCAAACAACAAGCCACCGAGTCTCGCTTCCTCAATGCTCTGCACAATGCTGGAGGTTTGAACTCCTACGTTCCCACGACTACCATCTGGTCTTTCTACGACGAGGTTGTGCAACCTCAATCCGGACCCGACGCTTCCGCAAGACTCAATGGCGCCAGCAACTTTATGATTCAAGACCTTTGCGGACCAATCTGGTTTTTGGAGCACTCTCAAGTGCTCTTCCAAGATGCGACGACGACGATCGCCAAGCGAGCACTGACCGATGCGTCGGGCAAAGCGCCACAAGGAGCCTTCAAAGCGGACATTTGCTCTCAGTTGATTCCAAAGGAAATTCCAATTCCCGATAGGTGGCTCGTCGGATCCACCATCACCATTGCAGCCACTGCTCTCGCTTTCGGTCCCGGCCAACAAGTGTGCGAGCCTTTGCTCAAGGATTACTCCAAACCGTATGATAAGACCAAGAGCACGAACCAGTGCGAGGTTCCAATCACCGAGGCGCTAGAGGGCAAGCTGAAGGCTGCTGGTCTGCAGAACAAAAAGAGCATCAGCGACATTATCTGGTCGAACAATTACGATTTCAAAAAGAACATCTGAATTCGACAACGTCCCGCTTTGCGATAGTCCGTTGTTGCGTATGCAATTCGGACTGTTCTTCTGCTCCCCGCCTGAAATGCACGACCCGCGCAGTTCGAAAAGCTTGACGGGACGATAACCCCCCCACTTTCTCTCCGAAATCTCGGTCCTCTGCATTTTTGCCGAGCCTAATTTCCACCTTCGCTCTTTCCATAGATTCGCAAACCTTCCCCACCCTCATTGCCCTCCTTTCGTCTTCGTCGCGCGCACGCGCTCTCTCTAGTCAGGCGCAATGCATGATCCGCAATAAAATTTGCTGCATAGCGTTCAACATCTTGGCTGCACGCAATCCATCATTTGTGCACTCAGTCCTTTGCAAGAAGTGACCTTCACCAGAGCTTCTCGCTCGAATCAACTGTTCTGCAGCAGTGGCGGGGATGTCGCACCAACAAAGCGGCATGCATGATGGAGGCGAGCATAACGACTTGTGATATTCATTGCGAGGAACTAGTGGATCAGGCGTACAATGTCGAGCAACGAGGATCGAGTGGTGAGTTGAAGGGCAGAGAGGGGATGCACATAGACGCGGATAAAGGGATGAATCACGAGTCGAGAAGGTCGTGAAGACCTTTGCGGGCGGCGATGAGCTTCTCCTCCTCTTGATGAATATGGAATTTGCAAGCTGCTTCGGTAAGGTGAACCACGATGGTTGCGCCTCCGCCGAGGCGAGCGTACAGCATGTACAGAAGGAAGATGATCCTGGTGGTGGATTGCTTGGCGCGGCAAGATAGAGAGGCTACGGACTCCAAGAGGACGACGCTGCTGAGATGACGGAGCAAGGCAGAAGCTAGGGCAGTGTATCGCGACCCGACGGTGGTATTTTCCAATAGAAACGACCCGTCCACCCTATCCAGGACGCAAGGAGTCAAAACTCTGCGCGACTCATCTCCTATCCCTGTTGGAGAAAGAGTTGCCGAAATTTGCAGGTCTCGATGCGGGCGGATCTTTCGGATGTTTGACCCTAAACTCGCTCAGGATACAGATGTGATCGCTAGGATAGTGGGCGTTCGGAAAGCCGACGACCTTTTCCAAGTAGCCTTTGTCCACACCGTCCAACAAACCTGTGACCGCCAGAGCATTCTGATTGTACCATATATAGTCAATGCAACCTTCGAACCCAGGCGTGTAGTTGGTGAACTCCATCTCTCCCATATTGGCGTAGGCGCTCTTGAGTGGCAACTTGTGGCCAAGTCCTTCCGAAGTATAGTTGCCGTAAATGTGCGACATGAAGTCCTCATGATCGCCCCGAATCGCTCCTCCAGACAGGTACTCGTAAACGCCAGACTTGGGAACAGAATTGAAGTCACCGCATACGATGGTTGGGATCTTTGTTCCGTCGGAGTACTTTGGCGCAGGTGGATACCCTTCCGCCAAATCCAACTTTGGTGGAAACTTCGCGAACCTGGCTGCGATCTTTTCTAGCTCGTCCATCAGCATCGCGGTTTGGACTAGCTTCACGTCTCTGAATTCGGGGTCCCAATAGATGTGCGCATTGGCCACGATCAACCTCGATCCACTCTGTCTGTTTTCTAAAAGCGAGACCGTAGCAATGTTGTCCTTGGTCATGACCCTGTTGAACATGTCCTCCGTCTTTTTGAAATCAGGTCTTTGAAGAGCAGTCTGGTTGAACTCGATCAGCTGCTTTTCGATCAGAGCATACTTGTTAGATTTGAAAAAAGTAGCGCAACCGTCTACCCTTCTCCTCTCCTCGTCCCTCATCGTCCGCGCTCTACTCTTGGGCCAGAAGACGCCCTCATAGTCTTGTTGGGACAGGTGGTGCAAAAAGTAGTCCTCGTACTGCTCCGAATCCACTTCTTGCAGGCAGCAAATGTCGGCAGAGTAGCTCATGACTTCTTGAAGGATGAACTCCTTCCTGTAGTCCCAAGCCAATGCCCAGCTCGGCGTGTAGCCGTACATCTGAGGAGTCGCATACCGTTCGCAGAGGACATTGTACGATAGCACGTTGAAGACTTCTCCAGGTGGGACTGGTGTGCCATCTTCATTGGCAGGCGGAGGGGGCGGCAAATCCGCATCAATATTGATCCACTCCCTTTCTGGTGGTGGCATTGGCACCTGGCATGTATCCCGCAAGTGAGCGATCAAGGCTTGCGTGCCGTCCTTTTGCACCAGTGAGAGCAAATTTTCCTGCATAGGATTGCCTTCCACACCCAGCAGCTCTAGCTGGTAAAGTGTGCCCATTTCGGGAGGAAGCGTCTCGAGCTGGTTGTCGAACAAGAAGAGCTCTCTCAACTGTGTGAGCATGCCCATCTCCGGCGGCAGGTTGACTAGGCGGTTTCCGGACGCGTCCAAGATCGCCAAGTTCTTCAGCTGCATAATGGCTGGGGAAATTGTGGAGAGAGCATTGTGATTGACAAAGAGCGAGGTAAGGAAATCGTACCTGAACACCTCCTTGGCCAGGTTCTTGAGGCCCAATCCACCCATGTCGATAGTTGTCCAGCCTCCGCTCTTCTCTTTCTTGTCAGACTCTGCCTTGCCATTGGCACCCGCTCTGCCATTAGCGTGACCTCCATCCTCGCTCGCTGCGTCGGCGTTGTCCTTCTTCAGACTGCTCGACAAGTGCAAGCCATTGGCTGCTCCGCGTCCAGCCTTGTTCGGATCTTGGATGGCTATGGCGGCAGATGTGGCGCTTCTAGCAGCCAGAGCAGCTGCTCTGGCATGATGATGTGGAGAGGAAGAAGCCCTCGAAATCTGTGCACGGGAGCGAAAGACATTAGCCACTTGCTCATTTCGCTTAGTCCATAGCCTAGAGCGCATTCACTAACCTCCGCTTTCACAAGCTGCTGATTCCAATGGGCGCTGTTGATTGCTGAAGGCTGGCTGCTGGAGGAAGTCGAGTGCCCGCCGACGCTCATACCCATGCCGGGCGAGGAAGCGAGGTGAGACAGTCCGCTAGGTCCATGGAGACCATGGCCAGTATGATGATGATGACCCAGAGCTCCAGCGTGGGGATGATGAAGTGGCCCTGGCCCATGACTGTAGCTGGGACTTCCAGGCGCATTCATTCCGATGGACCCTGCTCCATTCGCGCCTCCATGTGCATGTGCCAGCGAGTTGAGACTGGACAAAGAGGGATTGCTAGTGTGCCCAGCGCCATTGCTGGACCCTGCGCCTCTCGCGCCCGCATTGAGTGCTCCAGAGCCAAGGTTCATGCTCCCACCTCCAACAGCGCTCCAACCCAGGTTGTTGGGCGCATATCGACCGAGTGGTGGGAAGCCATTTGCTCCTCCAGGTCCTTCGAAAGGTGAGCTGCCAGAGGCATTGCCCATGCCATTGCTTAGTCCTCCACCCGCTCCTCCACCGATGGCACCCAAGCCGCTCGAGCCATGCCCTCCATGATTGTGTGCTCCGTGACCATGCCCGTGTCCATGTCCATGCGCGTGGTGTTGATTGTAGAGGAACGCCGGACCGGGCGAGGGCGAAGGGGAATGAGAGGGAGAGGGGAACATTTGATTCTCCGATGTGCTTTCCTGAGCTGCCAGCAAGAGACCTAATTATCGTCTTGCACGACAGTTCAGTGATTTGGCAAGAGCCAGTCCTGCAATTTGAGGCTCAATAGCGAGATTGGAGCGAAGTCGGTCGAAGGTGAAAAGTGAGATCCCGCTGGAATTCGATAGGTAGGCGGTGGGGTGAATGACCGAGTAGTCAGTACGCAATCGTTCGACTTCACTGAGACACCTTTGCATTCTCGAGGGCGATATTGCGATTGTCCCTATAAGCGGGTGACACAACCAGCTCTTGGGCGTGCCGGGACGCTCTTCGACCTCCTGGCAAAAGTAGTAAGCCACGCTGGGCTGCTGAAAATAGTGTGAGGGATCGTCTCTTGAGCCAACAAGCGCCTGACACGCGATGGGAAGACTTTGTGCAATGTGCTTACACGCTACTAGAGGTGCAAGAGTGAGCGAGAGATCGGGTTCGAGCGTGAGTGGTGGAAGAGTCTGTCAAAGCATCCGAGTCGGGAGTGGACGATGCGACCGCGCACCGGCGGACAAATGTTGGCGGTGCGATCGATGCTGCTGCTGCTGGTGGTGCCACCAGCCGCTCGCTCCACGTACCGTCCGCGTCTGCTCATTGAACCGCCGTGCCGCTCGCGCCCAGCAACGCCCGCTCTGCGCGCCTGTCGTCTGCTGCCACCGCGCCAGGTGCATGCATGCACACAGCACCTGTTGATCCTCACCTCATCGCGCCCGCTTGCCTGACGCATGCGCAACGCCGCGCGGCCTCCGCCATGCACAACGTGAAGAGGAGATCACGTGCTTACTCTATCGTGCGAGAGCCGAGCAGATCTTGAATTTTGAAGTGAATGCACGGATGCTCGACGCGCGCGCGCCTGGCGGAGTTGAGGCTCCGTGCTGCAGTCTCTTGGCGTTACCTCCGGTTCCCCTGGCGCGAGCGCCATGTTGTTGGAAGTGTGCTCTTTCAATTGCTCTCATCTCCCATTCATGCTCACGTTCAGCGATAATCGGACCGCTCCATCACGGTCGTACAAGACGCACGCAACGAATTGAGATTGTAATTCGTCTACGCTCTATCGGTACTCGCTTCTGGTGCGGTACGCCATGTCGACGCTTACCCAGCGTTCAGCTGCGGGGCCCACCGATAGCAAAGCCACTTCCCCGTTAGACGTCCTGGACGAGACACCAGGAGCAGACGGCGCTCCTATCGATGAAGCGGGTGAGCATATCGTGTATGTTGGGAGATGCTGCGTGCGCTGGCGCTGACCGCGTCTTCTGCTCCATTGGTCCAAATTGAAGAACAAAAGCACATCATCTCTGCCCTGAAGGAGCAAAACGATAGGAATCACAAGACTGCTAGAGGCGGTCTACTTGCTCTGATCGGAGGAGTCGCTTTCTTGTGCGTATCAATGGGCAGAAAGGGGATGCCTGTGTGTCCTCTCGTCGGCCCTTTTCGCTTGCCCTTCAGTACTTGCGTCGCGACGCTTTGGCTTACAATGTTGGCGGTGTGCCACTCCACTGGCAGGTACATCACACCGCTACCAGCATACTTGACGAACACCCATCCGGACACGCATTTCCACCTACTCTTCGTACATCACACCCAAGAAACGGCAGAGCATCACGAATTGACTCGCCTGCCTGTCGCGCCCATCTACATTCTCTTCCTTCTAAGCATGGGCACACTCTTGTACGCTACGGGCAAAGAGGTAGCTGACAGGATGGGAATCCTACCTCGACCACCTGGCGTACCATTTCCAGCCCCGCAGCCACATCTTTTTGGAACGGCACCTGGATGGCTCGTCAAGTCTCTGACAGACCTGCGTTGGCATCCTTCCAATTCTGGTCAACCTCGATCTGTCAGAGCAGACCTGCCTGCGAATCAAGGAGGAGAAACACCGCCAAATTTTTTGACCAAGATGAATCCTAGGAATCTGTACGTCTTCATGATCTGGCTGGCCAGTTGGCCTTTGCCTCTGATGACTTTTGGAGCTGGTGCTTTCGAAAGCTCGGCCTGGTGGGCTCTCACGCCTGCTGTCATTGGCATCGTCCTGGCGATCGAGGGCATCATATACCGAGCGGAAAGAGATTTGAAGGGGCTGGATGGCATGAGATATGGGTACAAGGGCGCTTAACCTCCACGAGCTTCGCGACGACTTTTCTCGCTTGCACCATACGGAGCGAGTCCACACCTTTTCACAATCTTCCATGGCGCGACGTCCTCTGATCCCGCGGCCCTCGTCGGGATCGCGAGTACCTCAGGCTCCGCAATAGATCCCTCTCTTACCACAGTCTCTGCCTCGGGCATCGCATACTTGGGATCGTGCGGTTTGATGGACAAATTTGTTGGAGTACTTGACCTGACTCATCCATGCACCAGCGTTCGAGCCAGGCTGAAGGCGACCCGAGCTGATCGGTCGAGTCTGTCCGGCGCTCAGCCATATTCTAATCACAATGATGACAGTAGAAAGCGAGTGACTTGGTGTCGAAGATGCAGAGTCATGAGTGCAGCGTATGTATGAAGCGTGAGGGATGTCAGTCGTGCTTGTGGCTCTCGCGGCTAGCGGTGAGGCACGGCACGTTTGCGCGCGTTGGAAACGTGGCTTTTGGCTCTGCGGGACGCGAAGATTCGGGAACGGGCCAAGGTTGTCGTGCGCGTGCAGTCGTGAGTCGGATACACGCAAGCAGGCAGGCAGGCAGCGACGGGACATTCCAGCCAGAAGATCAACGAACCCCTGCCAAACTCCATCACCGCCCACTGCCGCTACCACACTCTCCACGCCAGCAAAAGCCAAGCGAGCAGAGCCTTGCGACTCAAATTGCATCTTGGTCTCACAATTGTCTGGGCAACGTCGTTGGTGCGGCAACCTGTGCCCATGATGTCACCCTTGCGAGCCTCATTGCGTCTGCGCGTACCAGCGCAAGCCCATCTCCACTCCATCCTTACCCAACGTAACGCCGTTCCTTCTACACGAATCCCCTCGCGCACCTACGCCACCGCCCCTCAAGATAGTTCCAAATCCACTTCGCAAGCGCTCGGAGCTTCTCAAGACGCTCAGAAATTGGCGGCAGATGCAGCAAACTTGAAAAAGGAGCATGTGAAGGAGGAAGTTAGAAGTGGCGTTGCTCAGATCAGAGGAGAAGCTGAGGAAGCTACACGAGCTGCAGAGAGCAATGTGCAGAGCGGATCTGACAAGGTGCAAGCTGCTGCTAAGAATGCGAAGTCTACGTACGCCGCTGGTCCGTCCTTTGGCGGCAGTGGAGGTAACGGCAGCAGCGGTAGTGGAAGCGGTGTCGTGTCGAAGTTCACATCTCTGCTGAAGTGGACTCTCATCATCCTTGGCGGATCTTATGTAGTCGCGTACCACCTCGACAGCAGATCCGCTATTCATCGGTGGGTAGCTATCCCTGTCCTGCAACTCATCGCTAGTCCTGAGGAAGCGCAGAAGCTGGCAATCAAGCTCCTCAGCATGGGCGTCATGCCCAGAGATCTCGGCACAGACGACGAAGTGCTGAAAGTCGAGGTGAGTTGCTTGTATGCGTCCTGTATGGCCCCATGGCTGCTCGCGGGAGCCTGTCTGCGCGCGTGCTGATCGCGCGCTTCCTTCGCTCACCAGCTCTTTGGAAAGCAATTGTCGAACCCGATAGGTTTGGCTGCGGGCTTTGACAAGCAAGGAGAAGCGATTGATGGCCTGTTGAACTTGGGGTGGGGAATGGTGGAGATCGGATCCGTTACGCCTCTTGCTCAACCCGGCAATGACTTGCCTCGCTACTTCAGATTGGAAAACGATCGGGCAGCAATCAATCGCTTCGGTTTCAATTCGGACGGTCATGATGCCGTCTTGCACAGGTTGAGGGAGCGATTAAGCAGGTGGCTGCATTCGAGCGGAACCATCAACGATGTGAGAGTCCCCATCACCTCTGGACAAGCGGCGGATGAGATTCTCGCTAGGAATCCCGACATCGGACCGGCCTTACTTGACGCCTCTGGGCTTCCGCGAAGCACCAAGCCAGGTCAGTTGCTTGGTATCAACCTTGGAAAGAACAAGTCTTCTGCGGCTGAAGATGTGTCGGACTACGAGGTCGGTGTGCAAAGTCTGGGCAGGTACGCCGATTTCCTCGTTATCAACATCTCATCTCCCAACACTCCGGGATTGAGGGCTTTGCAGAGGTATCAGACTTTGACAAGGTTGCTGTCAGCGGTAGTCAAAGCTAGAGACGACTTGCCGACTCCCAGGGCGCCTCTTCTCGTCAAGATTGCGCCCGACCTTTCCACTCAAGAGCTGCACGATGTAGCCGACGCCGCGCTCAGCGCCAAGATTGACGGGCTCATCATTTCCAACACGACGGTTTCGCGACCGGAGACGCTCAAGAGCGCACCGCACCTGATCGAAGAGACTGGAGGTCTTTCGGGACCGCCTCTGAAAACCTTAGCTCTGCGAGCCCTGCAAATCGTGAGGGAGAGGGCGGGAGACAAGCTACCGCTGGTGGGGTGCGGAGGCATCTCGTCCGGCGCTGATGCGCTCGATTTTGCCAGAGCGGGAGCGAGCGCTGTGGAGCTGTACACGTCTTTTGGCTACGAAGGAGTCGGTCATCCCAGGCGCATCAAGGACGAATTGACGTCGTTGCTCAAAGCTCAAAACACAACCTGGGCAAAATCTATTGGCGCTGGTCTGCCTTCGCGAGAAGATGCGCAGGGCAAATTGCCGAGTGGGGAACAGGAAATACAAGTCGTGGGAGGGACGGCACAGCGGTTGGACAGTGTGAGAGCTGGCATCAAGGGCGAATTGGAAGGTTTGAGAAAGGCTTTGGGAGGATCCGCAACGCGGGAAACGAGAGCGGCGGCTTTCAGACCCGACCCGAAAGATTCGGCATACGTGTCGCTGCTGGACAGGGTACATGCCGTCTTGGGCACGGACTACCCATCGCATGAAGCCGACAGCGCCGGAGACATTTTGGACCCATCGCAAGAGAGTCTCAGCTCTTCAAGCACGATCGAGGCCCTCAAGGGTGCTTCCAGGGCTTCGACACAAAAGACGACGACGAGAGCTCAGGAATTGCAACAAGACTTGGACGAAGCGTTGTTGGATCCTTCCTTTATCAGTGCAGGACTGCCCAGCGCGGACAACTACAGCGTCAGACCTCGCAGCAGGATCACGACGCGAAGAGATGAGCATATTGATGCGGGGGCTGGGCGCACGTCGGTTGTGGGAGAAGGCTTGGCGAAGAAAGTGAGCGAGGAGGTGAAGAGTGTCAAGGGAGAAGTGGAGAAGGGATGGAAAGAGGCCAAGGCGACCTTGCGTGCCTCTACTCCCACCCAGCTCGAGGGTGATGCGAAAAGTTGGAAAGAGGCCGATACGAGACGTCGGGTCTGAGAAAAGCGCAAACACTTTCAATGCATCAGGTTCGCGCCTTCTTCAATGACGTACGCGCCCCGATTGGCTTCTTTTGCTTGGGCCGAAGCGTCCGCGTTTGTCCAAGCATGCCTCGTGCTGCAACGGCCTCGCTCAGATGAAGCGCTATAAGGTTCTCGTAAACGTTTGAACCGATTGATTGACGGATGTGTCGCAGGTACGTTGGACGTGTTCTAGAATTTTGTGAGGCATGAGGAACATACAAGTGCTGTGCACGACGCGACAAGTGATGGGTAAAGAGTTCAATGCTGCCATGGAAAGAGGACGGAAGAGTCCGCGAATGAATGCGGACGAAGAAGAAAAGAAAGCTATTGTCAAGAAGGCGAAGAGGGGGAGTCGAATAGTAAAGGAAGAGTGCGGTAGGCGAATGATCGATGAGGTGTGTTGAGCGGCGAGAAGCTTGGCTTGATCTCGCTGCAGCTCAGTCTGCGCTCGCTAGCTCGCAGCGCCGTTGCAATGTTGTCTCAGGAAAGCTGTGCATACCCATGCTTTACGCCATCCACGTCCGGCTCCGGCAATTCGTAGCCCGATGATCCTGATGAAGTTTTGACATGTTGCAAGGCGGCTTTTTCAGGTCTTGCATTTTCCGCTCTGTGTTCTCTCGACAAGTCCGAAAAAGGTCCTTCCATCATGGCGATGCTCCTCCGAGCCGAAGAGCTCGATCTCCGGAGCTCAGAAGGTTTGGGTGGCACCGGCGCTGCCCGAAGGGAGTTGGAGCGCTGTGGCGTCGAAGATGCGGATGCTTGACCAGACGGATACAATGGCGTTGGTCTGTCCAACGCTTTCTGTTCATACCCGTCGTCGACATCCGGCGCATCCTCGTCCAGCACTGCAACGTCGTCGCCTCCATCCAACAAGCCTACGGTCCCTTCGTGCATAGGCCGACCCTTGGCTCTTTCCGCGGCTCGAGCTACCCAGCTGTGCTGCTCAGCCACGCCGACCATGTCATTCTTCAGATGATCGATAGGTCTGGACCCTTTCACAAGACCCTCGTTCAGGCCAAGAAATCCCGACACTCTATCGCGAATTCCTTTTCCGCTTGAGGTACCCGCGGGAGGCTCTCCATCACGAGGGGACAGTGGTGTGACACCTCCGCTACTGCTCGTGATACTGTCCACCGCGCTCGGGCGTCTGACAGGTGGGGGAGGAGCGGGCGGAGGATTTTGATGCAAAGCGCCACGCTCTCTACTCGCCTTCTCCCTCTCCCTTTCCAAGATTAGGTGAGGCGGAATCCCTACATCCGCTTTCTTCGTAGTAGGGTTGAGGCGAAGACCACCACTCTGTGGTGTATCGAGCCGAGACTGCTTGCCAAAGCCGCGGTAGGTGCCAGCGTCAAACGCCGCTGGACCTTCTTCGAGCTTGCGGCGTGGTGGAGCAGGGATCATGCCATTGAGAGCGGCGCGCGATTGCAGCGTCTTGCTTCGGCCAAGAGGACGACCCCCTTCGCCCAAAGCGGCCACACTGGTTGATCCGTCAGACACAGGTCGATTCCATTGCGTGCCGACTGGTGCAGTGCCATCCAATATGGCGGCCGCAGCAGCTGCTCGCTCCACAGCCAGTTTTGTGAGCGGCTCTCCGATCGTCACGGGCAGATGAGCATCCGCGTCTCGGGACGAGCGCATGAAGAAGGGGTTGTTGCGATCGATGGAAGCGGCAACGCTAGCCTGTCCACTTCGAGTATCGTCATCGTCCTCCTCTTCAGACTCTTGGTCTAAGAATTCGATGCGCGAGGAAGACACGCTAGGCGGGGCGTCGACCGATGCATGCCCGCTCGACGGATTTCGCACCCGCGGCAGACTGGCAGAGCGAGGAGCTTCAAGTCCTACATCTCCCAAAGACGATCTTTGCAACTCTTCCTGCTCTCGGAGCCATGAAGGTAAGCCCCCTTTGCCATCCAATTTTCCGACGCTTCCGTAAGACGCCTTTGGCTTGTGCACCGTCAGTGCTCGCTGTGCGCTGGGCACCACCACCCCGCTGCTGACCGCTCGAGGCGCTTTCAGCGGGGTAGATCCGCTTGCATGGGGTACAGCATGCTGGGGTCCCGCGGGTTCCTTGCCATCAACGCTGCTAGCAGGTCGTAAGAGCCCAGAAGGTATCTCGCTGATGCTCCGGCGAGGGTCGTAGCCGGCCGAAGCTGTAGGTCGCCGTCGGGGTGGAGGAGGAGCTGGCGTGACGGGAATGGGGGCCCCAGGTGGGGGGAGCTTCCCGTCCAGCAGGCGCGGTTCGACCTTTTTCACCGGTGCGCTACTCTGGATTACGCTGTACGTCTTTGGCGGCAGTGCGTCCTTCTTTGCGCGCACTTCTCTCGACGCAGCGAGACCAGCTTGAATGAGAGGATTTGCGCCACGGGGAGGTAGAGGCGGAGCAGCTCGATCGCCAGCGAGAGGTCGGGGTGGGAGGGGTGGAGAGCCAAAGGTTGCTAGCCTTTGACCGGGCGCCACTGAAGTCTCTTCGCTATCCGCCACACTGCCATGCAAGCTTCCCTCCCGACCGCCTCGACCGATCACCGGCGACCGAGAGCTCTCTCTGTCTCTCTCCCGCCGGCCTGACGCGGCTGTGCTCGAGCGCGATGGCGCTTGCCCTGCCGTGACAGAAGTGCTGGCATCTGCTGAGACGGGCACCGGCTTTACTGGCTTCGGCTTGACGGCGACCGGCATAGTGCTGCCGCCCGACGCATGTGACTGCTTGAAAGCGTGGACGCCAGCTTCTGAAGCGGAAACAGCGATAGGAGCTACCACGTTAGAATCTGGCAGCGCGGAGGCATTCCACAGGACAGGGGTGGGTCTGAATGGATTTGCAGGCGATCGACCATGTTCTACTTCTTTTGCCTTGGGGGCAGCGTGAGACTTGTTTGCGGCCTCTTGCATTGCTGAAAGTTTGGTGGGTGTCGGTGTCAGAGGTGGTTGAAGACTGTTGCCAGGCATGGGAGTCACTGGTGCAGGAGCGACCGGGGCAGGTGCGAGGGTGATGGATCTCGAAGGTTTGGACGGAACCTCTGGCGGGGCGCGGGATTTTGTCGGGCTACTACTGCTAGCGCTGCTCTGATTGCTGTTGACGCTAGCCTTGGCGTTTGAGCTTGCTTTGTGCTGGGGAGGGGGTTGGATCGAGCCCGCGCCTACTCGCACCGGCACAGTTTGCGTGAAGACGGCTTCTGGACTGACTGGATCACCTCGTTGAGCGTGCGAAGCGAGTCGCAAAACTGCATACACGACGCCAGTAGGCAAGCCGTACGGGTAGCGCTCGAGCAGGGAGAATATCTAAGCAGCGGGGAGATGTACGGGTCAGCTGCCGCATTTGTGGGAGCTCTGTAGCAGAGCATACAAGCCCCTAAGACTTACTTGCACTTCTTGGTCGACATTAATGTTACATTCATCTCTAAGAAACCGCAAAACATCGGACTCTTCGATGTGTCCCTCCCTACCACTTCTGGCAGCCTGCAAGCCCATGACGTAGCCAGGCAGGTTGGCATACTCGGTAGGAGAAAGCGCTGATACGTCGAGATCCGGTACGCGCGCGCTCCTCGATGAGGAGGCTACGGTGGAGGCCATCCTAAATGCAGACACGCGTGAGTTTCAAATGGGTATCCAGCTCAGAAATACTCGTTTGGTCTCCACCTCGAGCGAGCTTTGAGTTCAGCAGCCGTCTTGTGCGACGTCCTGATTGATGTCGCCTTATTCGCTTTCTAGGCTGATCTTTGGGAGCGTCGTTAAATCCAAGATGTGATTCCGGTGAGCAAGGAGGGGCTTCGCGTAGCGCCAAGCAGCCCAATGAGCAGCCTTGCGGGTCGCTTTCCTTGGCGCCGGGTTAAGATGGCGGGTATCGGTAAGGAGAGTCAAGGCTTATTTGGAGGATGGTGATAGTGAGAGCATGCGGCCAGCTTTCGCTTGCACATGTAAGCATGTGTATACTTGGTCCATGTGGATGGAGACCGAAGGAGCGCGTACGCGTGGCGTATGGATGGATGTGCGTGGGCGCGGGGCTGCTCAAGCGCATGGCAGCGATGAGAGGTGAGCGCCTCGCCTGCAGTCGTGAGTGTGCTGCTGAGGTGCTGCACGCTGATGATGCTTCACGATTGCTGCTGACGGGCTGCAAACAAGCAGCGCGCACAGTCTTGTCTGCGCGCGTGGTGCATGCATGCAGCCTGCAGCAATAACCGCCGAGATGATGGATCTGTCATACGCCGGTACCGGTACGGTACGATATACACAGCGTTACCACACACACCGACCGGTACCTCTCTGTCTAGGCCATTCTTCTTGAAGCTCCCATACAAGGGGCGCAAGTTGTATCAAGTCATCGCCGTCTCGTATCTGTGACCCACGAAGTGGATGACGAGCCCAACTGACCCCGGGCGGGTGACAAGCCTGCGCTACAAGTGACCTCGACTGCGATTGCGCTGTGAGCCACCGCCGAGACTCGCTCATAGCTCACACTCATCTTACCAACGTCTGAATGACTGGCTCTTCTGACCGTATCTGACGTGCACGCGCACCAGGCACAGGTACGCGAGATCGGACGCGCTCAATGACGGCATTTGTAGCTGCATACTGTACGTACTCAAAACTGTACTCTGACTGTGCGATGGATGAGGCGTGTGCTGCCCGGCCTACATGCCCGCGCCCGCCTGTAGAAACTCGTGACTTGGTTGCGCTCCTGTCAGGCTCCGGACGCAAACCTCCGGTCGAGGGAGAGAGCAGAAGAACAGCATCGTGGCCAGGCGGATAAGCATCTCAAGTCGCGTCGAGTGTGCAGGTCCATGCAGTCACGAGTCACGAGTGGCGGTGATGTGCATGTTTGTCTGTCACTCAGACTCCAAGCAGCAGCACTTGATCAGCACTTAACCCTGAGTCACGAGTCACAGTCACTCATGCAGCAGCATGCATCGAGAAAGGGCTCAAGGGCTCGGCTTGCCTTGCTTGTCGTCTCATAAATTGAGCAGCGCCACTACGCAAAGGTAGCATTAATTAAGTGATGCGCGGGTGATCGCATGACTACTACTAACTATACTCGTGACTACTGCTGCTGTAGGCACCTCTGATCTGACCCTGGAGGCGTGGCTGGCTGCATGCTTGCTGGGCTTACCCGCGTGTGATGTGAATCCCCTCGGACTCGTGACGCGCTTGTTGTGTGTAGCCTCGCGCTGACCACGCACGCGACATCATCTCCCGCTACTTTGATCGAGCAGTCTTCACTCCTTGTATCCATGGCGCGAAGTTTGCGGCTAATGTGAGCCTCTCGAGTCAGGGTCATTAACTCAAGACTACGCAGGCTAGAAGAAAACGAGGTGGAATTTCCTCGTCCTACAGCACTGTCTGTATGGAGGCTCCAATCTGTTGGATCTCTTCGAGACGGCTTGGTGTGCGAAACGGTCGCGCGATGCAGTCAAGATTCGAATCCAGAAGTTGATGTTCGAATCAAAATCAAATCGTGAATGTTGAACTCGAAATTGGAATTCAAATTTTGAATCAAATTGATGGTAAAGACAAGCTGCATAGCTGGCACGTGATGATGCCCTGGGAAAGCTAGCTGCGGTGGAACGTGACTCGTAAGACTCGTCGTGACTTCCGTGCTGCTTGGTGGGCTGACCTAAAAATCAAGTTTTGAGTACTCTTGACTGTATCATCTGACGCGCCTCCACCAAAAGCGCGACTCCGACCTGCTGATGATGCAAGAAGCGACGTGTCACGAAGCACACATATGTCCATCGCTGAACTTAAATAAAGTTGGTTTCATCTAGTCAACACTTCACGCTTTCCGGTCTCTGAAGCACAGTCCAGGCTGCGACTTAAGCTGAGCGCGCATCCTTTCCCGACAGGCACTGATGCTGTGGGTAGAGGTCAGTCACCTCATGCAGTACTCGAGCGCAGCGCGTCCGCAAAGATGTCGAATTCTCTACTGAGCCTGCTCAATGCAGGCAGGAACAACGGCAACGCTGCTTCTCCGTCGGGCTCACAGTCTCATTTTAGCTCGCCCAAGATTGGTGCGGGTGCGAGCGATGGGTCCACTAAGCCGTCACCAAGCAACACGGATCGCTTAGGAAGTCAAGCAGCCGTACCTCAAGGAAGCAACAGTCCGTCCGGCGCTAGCAAGGATGCTTCGTCCCTATTGGCACAGCTCTTATCGCCTTCCACCATACCTGCTTCTCCGACAAGTCTGACTGCTACTTCGAGCACATCAGCTACTCTGCCTACTAGCATACAAGCTGGCCAGCGCCCATCGTCTGCATCTTCGCCACGAGGTCCAAGGGCGAGCGAGAGCGCCGCAAGCCTCCTAGCTCTTCTCAGCTCCGGTCCATCTAGTCCTGGCAACGCGAAGAGCCTCGTTGCGAGCTTGGAACCTACGCCACTTTCACCGCTTGTCCCCTCTGCGTCTGCTTCAAAGCTACCGCTCACCACTCCGAACCCTGACACCGATCTCGCCCTCCCCGTATTAAAGTCCCAGCAGAAGGCCGATCCCCAACCAACTGCTTTCGACGTCGCGTCGCCTTTCGCTTTGCTCGGCCAGAGCAAAAATATAGCGCAAACCCCTACCGAGACTGCTGCAAAGGGGGCCGTTGAGGGGCTGGAAGCTTTTGGATCGCAGCTCAAGGCAAAGGAAGCTGGCTCAGAGGCGCCATCGTCCGGACCTTCATCCAAGCCAGTGAACGGCGCAGCTGCCGGGGAAGGGGTTGTGGATCCGACGATGAGCGCCTCAGCTTCTCTTGAGTCATCGCAAATGGCGTCGAAGCAGGAGCGCAAACCTCCAGCCGAGCCTGTTCGGGCCGGAGAGGTGCAATCAAGACCTCTTGCTTTGGATCACCTGAAACAGCTCCACTCCCAGTCATCTTTTTCCTTGTCTTCGACCTCCGGCGCTCAGCTCCTCGCGTCAGAAGCAGGTGTCACTTCGCATGTATTCGATGTAGATGCAGTCCAGCCCTTAGGTCCGAACACGCTCCACCCAGCAAAGCTCGAGGTCTCCCCAATAGCTCTGCTCTCTTCGCCTTTCAGCCGACCTTCACTCTTGCTCGGACACAAAATCGCTGCATTCGGCGAGAACGTTCTGTATGTCATGCCTGGTAAGGGACGCGCGCGACTTCTGCATACCAGGACCGGAGCAAGGGCTCTCTTGCGGCTTGATGGACTGGAAGGTGTGGCCGTGCAGGAAATCGCAGAGCTAGGTTGGGTTGTCAAAGGAGGAGCACGTGGTGTGGAGACAGAACACGCAACGCTTGGCGTTTGGAAGGTGCCCAGAGACTTCGGTCTCGTCGATGGAGCCTCTCCAACTTTGATTCAGACGGTGAATGTTCACGTGCAGGAAGCCAGCTTGAACATGTACCGGCGAGGGTCTCCCGACGCTCCACCTTTACACTTGGTACCAACAGACACGTTGGCATCGCCTCAAGCAGCTTTGAGCTCTGAGAACATCCCAGCGAGCTCGCAAGTGAGTCCTCGAAGCTGAGCTGCGCCGCTGAATCGTGGCTCATCACTTTACCTCCTCACACAGATCGTGGCGACTTCGACTTCTGTGGACGGAAAGTACGTCTGCATTCTGCGCCAAGGATCGAATGCACTACTCTCTGCGTGTGTCACAAGAGCTGATTGGCTTTCGGCCAACTCGGCTCATGCGCACGAAGCACCTCATCTGGTGCTGCGACTGCCCCCGGGACTTGCAGACCCAGACTATGTGGGCCTAGTTGGACCAGAGGCTCAAGAAGTTCGCTCGATCGTGCTGGGATTTGACGGATGCAAGCGGATAATTTTGGTCGATGTCAAGACCGCGAAGGTCCAGCTGCAAGTGAAGCTGAAAGGAGAAGAGTGGGCTTTCAGTCGCATACATCCTCGAGGAGATGCGCTTTACCTTGCAAGCGCAAAGCGCGCTTCAATACTGGTTCTTCCTTTGCGATGGCCCGAATCCGCCGCCGCCGATGAGTTTGTTGATGGAGGGGAGAGACAGCGGGAGCCCTTGCGCCTTGGTGAGCTGGTGGAGTATGCCTTGCCGCAACCTTGCATATCTTTCGACATAGTCATCGCAGGCCAGAGCGAGCAGCTGGCTGCTGCTCACCCAGGTGGGATTCATCTAGTAAACTTGCCGGCGCTGTCCCCATACGAGCCCGTTCCAGTTCTGAGCAGGCCAGTGGAGGACCGCGTGGCTACTAGTTCCACGCCAGCCGTCGCTCAGCCGGTCGACGTATCCACATCCTCCGGAATCGCTCCAGACATCGCTGACATGGCGCAGACGGAGGACTGCACATCGGCAACACCCAGCATTGCAGCTCAGCCTGTCCCCTCTGAGGACCAACCTGCGATTGCAGCTTCCGAGCCAGATCTTCAGCCATCGCTTGGCAGCGATGACAGAGAAGCGCCAGCAGAAGATCACGTCGCTCCGGTATCCAGCCCTGGCGAGCCCAACACTCTGCCAGCTCTTGGGGCTCCTGCGGAGCATAGAGACCAGATACACGACCATTCTGGAGTCGGTGCCATTTCCAAAGACGTTGCTAATCGTGAGCCGACGGCTCCAGACCCTGCAGACCTCTTCCGCGCGGAGCAGCCGCGAGCACAGGCGCCCAAAACGCCACCTGCTACCGGAGCGGCCCCCCGCACACCGAAGGGAGGCACGCAAGCTGCAAAAGCCAAAGCCTTGTCGTCCGTGCTTGCTCAAAGCACCACATCACCGGACAGTAGCGTCCAGGCTGTCGAGAGTAGCCCGGCATCCACGTCCCGCAAGAGTCGCAAGAAAGCGGCGCACGAGCGCGCGGCCAGCAAAGGAGCCTCTGCCGGGCCCAAAGAAGCGCTTCCGGCTTCTTCGACGTCGTCCGTTGCCACGCCGGACAAGGGACTCGCACGCTCGTTGCGCGATATGGAAGCAAACGTCGCGCCAGAGAGCTCAGCAAATGTCACCGTGCCAGATTTGGAGGCGCTCATAAAGGAGATGGAGCAGCGTTTGCTGGCCTCGCTAGAGCGAAACCAAAACGCGCACAAAGGCCTTACCATCGGCCCTGAGTTCGTTCGGAGCGTCGTAGCATCGCTCCTTCCGCAGATCAGCCACATCGTCAGCGAAAGCGTTAGGATGCAGATGAATGGTTTGCTGCAGACCTTTCCGGCAGAAATTCACCACATGCTGTTGAGCCCACAGGTTGCAACGCAACTGGCTTCCAGCCTTGCGCAGATCTTTTTTCCAACTTTCCAACGTCTCGGAATCGACGTTGTCACCCACGCCTTGACACCTCGTCTGGAACAGATTACGAGCCAGCTAGTCGACACCTTGCAAGCCGATGTCCAAGCCGAGATGACCGGTGTCAGAAAAGAAGTCGTCGCCCAGCAATCGGACGCGATGCTCGATCTACAGAAGAGCGTCGACCGGATGAGCAAGAATTTGACACTGGTCACCGATAATGTGCAGAGCATGGTCGAGGAGAATGCTAAGCTTCGTGCTAGTCTCGACGACACTAGGCAGCAGCTAGAGCAATCGAATACCACAATCGAGCAATTGCGCCGATCTCTGTCGCAAGGAGTGCCACCTCAACAAATTCACAACGTCACGAGACCAAACGCACTCTTCAGCACCGCAGTCGCGAATCAAAGGACTTCTTCTCCTCATACCCCGCGACGTCTGCCGACGGCAAGCCATTCGATCTCACCGCAGCATTACTACGTCACCTCTCCGCATCAACCCAACCTTCAGCGCGATTTCTTTCACTCACCAGCCCCGCCAAATTTTACCACTCCAACGCCGGCTCATCAGCCACTGGACAACATGGAAGACTTGCTAATTTCTGCACTTTCCACGCCCAATGTTGAGGAAGACGTTTCTCCCGTGACTCGTTTGCTCGAGGGCCTGCCGGTGCCGAGCGAAAGCTTGTGGGATCAGTCGACGAGTCGTTTAAGATGCTCCAATCCAGTCATCTTGGCGCTTCTGCATCGTATCTCTACATCTCTGGACAAGCGTGGCACGCCCTCTCCCCGTATTGCTGCGCTTTGGATGCTAGCTCTCTCCATTGCTGTAGACCATCGAAGTGCGGATATCGCGTCTTACTGGCAAGCTACCTCTCCCGCTATCGAATCGGCCGTCTCCGGTCTTGTCCGCCAAAACACGCACGCCACAGAGATTGCCATCAATCAAGCGACCTTGGGGCTGCTCGCGAACATGGCGTTGAAACCACGCACTGAGGACCTGTTGAACACTCTCAAGTACTTCGAGAAGACCTTCGAGTCTTTCGCGCCCGGGTCACCACGCGCCTCTCAGCGACCGCCCCGCATTGGACCGATGGCGGAGGAATCTCCCGCTCTCGCGGGTAACGACGCGACCATACAAGCCTTCCACAATCTTTCGCGACGCGATCCGACCATCCTCGACGACCTGGCCCACATACTCGCTGCTCAAAATGGATCGGGAGCGCAGGGAGATCTGCGAGTCGCATTGATGGCTGCTCAGTCTGCGCGCCGAGGAGAGAGCGTTGCTCCGTCTTTGCTGTGAATAGCAGAACAGCGCAAAAGATATCAGACTGTCACCACTACGAAGCTCAAGCGAGCAGCTGGAAGAGCGTCGTGATTTTGCTTCTGTGCATCACAATCTGTACGCTAGGCCATCGTCCGGCCTCGGTCTCCTCATTGTCACCAATTTTCAGCGAGATTTCGAAGAATGGGCTCACGAATATGAGAACATGCGCTCCTTTCCGTGTCCACAATGATCACTGCGCATCGCGCGGCTTCTTGGCTGTGGTGACGACGGCTCTCACAGCTCCTTCGGCTCCTCCTTTTGCCCAGCGATTGACGATCCTTCCAAAGCCCCTCAGACCGATAAAGTCGGCATTCCATTCATCCCTGACAGTGTTCTCTCCGCCTTTGCCCAGACCCTGAAGGAAGGTGGAAAAGCCCGGAAAGACGCTGGAAGAGACGTCCTGCACTTCGACGGGCTGCAACCCCGCAGCTTTGAGGTCGGAGAGGTATTGGGATACGTCCTTGAGATTGGTGGAAGGCACTCCGGAAAGACGCATGGTTAGTCTGTGCAGCAAACGGGTAGAGAGCGTCGGAGGCGATGCTATCGGCGTTTTGTGGTCTGCGTGAAATATGCTGAAGTCGTTGGACGACTGTTGTGGTGAGATTGTAGATGAGGAGCGGATCGTCTGATTCGATCTGTCGAGCGGGTACGGCCAAGCTGCGACGAGATCGAACAACACCAACACACCTCCCGGCTTGAGCCTTTGGCTCGCCAGCTGCAGAAACTTCTCCCGCGTGCGAAAGTGATACGCGCAATCCAGTCCATAGATCAGATCATACCTCTCCCATTTGAGCTCTTCATCCTGTCGATGATAGCTGTCAAGGAACTCGATGGCGTCTCCACACCATACCTGACCCGCTTCGTTCGTTTGCTCAAAGGTTGTCGTGGAGAGTGTATCGCACTGCGCAAGCGATCTGGACCGAGCATCGTAAAAGGTGCGCAAACGGCTGCGAGCTCGGTCGGCGTGTGCGGGCAAGGAGGTGACGCCATGCAAACGTCGAGGTCGCAATGTTCTGGCCAGCAAGAGCAAGGAATCTCCGCACCCGTGTCCCACGTCCAAAATTGCCAAGTCGTTCAAGTTTGCCGTCGAGCCTTGAAGGTCGGAGTAGATCTTGACATTGCTGGGCAAGTGAAGCGAGGCGCGATGGATGAGGTAAGAGGCGAGCGCTTGACACGCCCTTGGAAAGGAACGGGTGGGGAAAAAGTCGTGAATGTTAGGAGAAGATAGGAAAGCGTCTTGATGCAATGCGATAGGTCCAAAACCGTTCCACCAATCCCTCGTATGGTCGTGCTGCGAAAGAGTGCCGAACGACCGATCTGGCTGCGCAAGCTTGTGGTCCTGATGCAGCGCAGGTCTATCCCACAGACCCATATTGATCCACTCGGAGTGCGCTTCTGCATTGAGCGCAATATGAGAAAAATGCCTGTAGCTCTCCTTGCGTGCAGGGTCGCTGCTGGCACCGTCTCTGCTCCAGACGAGCTTGCGCGCCCATTTCAAGACCCACGTCGCACCCGCCACGGCGGCTATCATGGCGAGCGTGAAGAGCCAAGGATGTCTGGCGGATGGCTGACGAGTGGCATGTCTACAAATCGCAGCAAGACGCTGCTCCGCCTGCCATCTATTCTTGGACCCATCCCATCCGCTTTCCAGCCAGTCGCACACCCTCCCTGCGCTCATTCTTACGTCCCCCGGCCGAACCGAACACCAATGCGCGCGCGCCAAATCCCAAATTCGCTATATCGCCAATCAGAATGTAGGCTGCGCGCACACCTCCTCTCCTCTCCGCTCAGGCTTGCAAAAGGCCAGATAGTGGGGTGCCGCAAGGACGCTCTTGTAGTTTTCCTGTGATTGTGCTCAATCTGAGATCAAGGTCTTGCTTGACACACGCCTGGCAAGCAATGTGGACAGAAAAAGAGTGGTGATCATAAAGCAGCAGAGCCGCAACTCCAATGCTGCGGGCCAATCTCCAGCACGTCTACTCATAAATGCAGCACTCGTGACTCGATCGCGACCGCGGCGGGAAGCGCGCTCACTCCCACGGTATACGTGCGAGCAGCCATAAAGTGCGCGCGCAATAGGGATAGCTCGGCGCAAGCCTCGCTCTTTCCACAGCGGTACACACTGCTCGCATCTCAGAACCTTCGATCACCAGACTCATCAGTCAAGCATCAGCCTCGCTGGCAGAGAAGATATCGCGTGACTGTTTCTTTTTATATATACTTTCTTGCATGGGTCGGCGCCCAACTGATTAGGATGTCTGGGCGCGAATGCGACCGATGTGGGTCAAGTCCGGGACGTTTTAGATCGAGCATAATGCACGAACGAGGGTGAGAGTGAAGGGGAAGGGAGAAGAGGAGTCGATCACCCCCCAACAAACGGGTCTGATGCCTGCGAGGAGTGAAACGAGAGAGACCCTAGCAAGCCTAGATGCGCTCGGCTCTCCAGCAGCTGGCGTACATGTTGACCTGATCGATGCTCTTGCCAGTCTCCCTGATGTGCACCGGGCTAGTCTTGAATCCAGCCCTGTCGAACCTCTCATTGTACCAAGGATGCTTTGCCGCTGATCTGTAGTACACGCTTCCTCCCTGCGCCACGCACCTGGCGAGCTCGGCGATCTCCCTGTCCAGATCACTGATGCTCTTGTCCGCATCCCTCCTGGCAGCCTTGACGCTAGGGAAAGCCGTACCCGGCTTGACCGGGTCGTACCAGTCCATGTGGTCCATGGTGATGGCCCGCGTCAGGCTTGCATCTTCCAGGCCGCGAAGCACATTGACAATAGAGTCAGTGTGCAATCTAAATGCATCCAACCTCCTACAAGCGTCTTCTTTGAGCTTCTTGAAGGCCTCTGGCTTGAGGTACAACGGGCAGCTCTGCTTGGTGTAGTTGCCCATCAGGCACAACCTATAGTGGTAGTTTTCGTTCTTGAACAAGCTCCTGTGAGGAATAGGATCCAAAGTGTCGATAGCGTACTGCTCGGTAGAGACGCCTTCGTTCACGAAACAGTTCATCTGGTTGATGGGCACGCCCAGTGCGTTCCATAAAAAGGCAGGGTTGGACAAGAACCACCTGATGAGGGGTTTGTTGATGATCCTGCCCCTCATACGTCGCTCCCAAATCTTGACCTGCTCTTCAATCGTCTCGGCCTCGCAAGCAGCCTTGACATCGCGATTGACACGTCCCAAAGAGAAGGCGGCCTTGGCAAGTCTCAAAGCGTGTCCAGAGTATCCTCGGAAGTAGAAGTTGCTCTTGAACGCTTCGGTGTTTAGACGCCAGAATTGGTAAGCGTGAGAGCTGAGGAAAGGAGAGATCTTGGTGTCGAGCAGGTTGCGGAAGTCTGCGTGCTTTCCTTCTCCAAAGAGCGCCCAAAACTCCTCGTACTCCAGAGCGGCAATGCACGCCAGCTTGAGCTCCAAGATATGACCTTGGCAGGGATTCATGTCGATGCAGTGGATGCGCTTTGGCTCGCCTGCGACAGCGTAGTGAAGAGCGTTGCACCCAGCGGACGTGATGCAGAGCACAGAGTCGTTGGCGCCAATGTCAAAGTGCTTCATATCGACATAAGGGTCTTCCCACGCGAAGCCGTAAATCCAGGTGCGGAATTGAGAAGCGAACTCGTTGTCGACAAAGGGCAATCTCCATTGCCTGCGTTGGTAGTGGAAAGAGCTGAGAGGAATCTGAGGTCCGAGGTCAAGGCGAACGTTTCCGGAAGAGTCACTGGCGTTGCCATCCGAGCCTCGGCGGCGGCTCACGACAAGCCCAGACTTTTCGCGGCCATTGTGAGCGGAAGCAAAGGCCGTGTCGATGCTGCTGGCGCTACCTTTCTCCGAGAGCTGAGAGCGGGCGCCTTCGAGGAAGTGGCTGAAGCTGAGCTCAGGGAATGAAGGTGGCACGATAACGCGGTTTCCGGCCTCTACTTCAAACGCCTGGATAGCAGCAGTAGTGTCACGAGCGCGAGAGCATCCAATCCAGATGTAGTAAGGGCTGCATCCACGCACCTCAGGTCAGCAGGTTATGACTCCCCCTTGTCAAGCACCGCTACACTCACATTCGCACGATGAAAGGCACGATAAAGTTGTTGCGGCCATTGAAGCACTTGATCGTTCCGAATTTGTACTCCAGGTAGTCTGTCCAAGAGGGAAAAAAACGTCTCAGTCCCGAGCGCCTGGCACACACGATACCGCCCTACTGCTCACCGCGTCTGGCAGGGTGAAGCTCGACGTGATCGAGTTCGAACCAGTGAGACCAGAAAAGACGACTGAGCCAGCCGCACTGTCTGCTCGTATCGCCTCCGATGATGGCACTCTTGTCCGCAGATGGCGCGCTTCTACCAGAGACGTAAAAGTCTACAACGCCGTAGATACCAGTCTCGGGGTCGAGCATGTCGTTGATGCGGTCCATGACGGCGTAAAATGGAGGGATCTGCGTCGTAAAAGATCACAGTCAGCCGAGCACGCTTCGCTGATGGCGCGACATGCCACACTCACCATCGAGATACTGTAGGAGCAGGTAAAGAGGTCCACCTTCTGTTCAGGTGCCAAGCCAGGCAATTGGAAATCACGAGCGTCTTGGCAAAGCACCTGCACATTCTTCAAGTCCATTGCAGCGAAGCGCTTCTTGGCGACTTCGAGCAGCGGGGCGCAGAGGTCGATGAGGTAAATCTGGGATAATTCGTGAAGAGGAAAGTATTTTGACATCTCCTCGATGTTCCATCCTATTGCGACACGTGAAATTTTTGGCGACGTTCAGCTTGTGCTCTGCGTAGAATTCAAGGTGCGTAATACCCTGCTCACCTGTACCACCGCCAACGTCGACCCACACCAGGGGTTTCCCAGGGTTGGTACGTTGCATCTCACGAAGCTGGGCAGCGCACAATCTGTATGAAAAGCAACAATGGGTTGGGTCAGCTGCCAAATCGGCCTTCCCGACCGCTTCTACAAACGGCTCCGTTTCCCAACGGAGCCCCCTTCGCGCAATCACTCACTTGAGCATAGTGCGCCTGCCGCGGAGCAAGCCGCTGCGCGTGGCATCGTACACTGCAGTCGAGTGGGATGGAGAATTGTGGGGCAAGCGTGCGCGTCAGCATCTCGATCGATGCAGAGGCCATCAAAGCGATGAAGGCAGGACGGCGTACAGGGCAAGCCAAGACGACTGTAAAGATCAAGTCGCCGCATACATCCCACCTCCCAGCTTCATCGACCGCTCAATCAGCGAATCTTGACCCTTTGCCTCTCTCTCTCCCGCTGTGCATGCGCCGCTCAAAGCCACGTTTGCGCGTCTAGCAGCAACACCACGCCCGCCTATAGCTGCGCGCGCGAAGGTACGACATGCACATGCACAGGTGCACGGGCCAATTCTGCGGGAGAGAGAGAGAGAGGGCGCGTGCGCTCGCTGCCTCTCTCGAATTGCCCCCTCCCCTCACTTCCTTTTTACGTGTGGCCCATATATCCAGGCTGGGATCGCTCGCGAATGGCCAAGTCACGAGAATTGCCTGCCAAGCCGACCCAATTCCCCAAAGTATCACTCAAGACTCCCGCGACCCGGACTGGAACCAAAGCTAGGGGGGCATTCCAGCGATGCAATGGAGCCGTTGTTGGAGGGAAGCGGGAGCATAAACAAAACGGCTTGCCAACTCACCGCCAGCTTGACCTTCGTAAAAACGATCCAGCCTCTCGCTCTGATTGGTGCTCTTGCCGATGGGTGCCAAGAAGCAGTGGTAAGCGAATGAGAGGGCCGTTTTGATACCCGGCACAAAGCGAAGGATGAGTGTGAGAGAGAGGAGACTGATGAAGACCCAGCTGAGGATGTGGATGAGGTGAGAGTTGGCAAGCTGCTCGCCTAGCAAGGGAGAGAGGAGGGTGCTGCTTGATGGCACACCCGTAAGCTTTACCCTCTCGAGGAGGGAAGGGTATGACATCTTTGCAAAAGAGTCAGAAGTGGCACGCTCCGCTTTTGATCAAGTGATGCAACTTTGAATGGCTATGCGTGGTGTAGTTCTTGAAAGCTCACAGAGAGGAACGAGACGTGATCATGGGGAAGATGGTTGATGATGATGATGATGGTGGTGGTGGTGCGGATGAGCGCTGAAGGCGAGAGACTCCTTCTGTCTGATCAAAATCTGCAGAAGAGTCGCAAGTGCATGGGCTGATGGAAGGGGGGGGGGGGGGGGGGGGGGGGGGGGGGGATCACGCGTGCTAATTGGTGTAGCGCGAAATTCGGAAAGAAGTCAAGTCGAAGTCGAAGTCACACAGTGGCTCTATAGCGACCACATACCCGGGAAACGGCAGCCTCGATCGATTTGGCGTGGGCCCCCGTCTCTCTTTTCTCATTGCCATACGGTACCTTGATCAGGCACTCGAGCAGCCAGCACTCCAAGACACGAGACGCTTCAATCCATCCTCCCTAGATTGGTCCCCATATACGAGCGCACGGCCCTGTGAAGAGGCGCGCACGACAAGCACTTTTGGGGCAGGCGAGCAGTTGCTTGCTTGGGCGCATCACTCACTCTCACACCTCTCTCTACCTTTTGCACGAGTGGACAAGCGATTGCAAAGCGTGAAAGAATCGCGAATGCAGCTCGGCTTGGCTGCTCGTGTGAGTCTCAGCTGTAGGCATCCTTAAGCGGGCCGAGGGCACGTCCCCTTCGAAGTCTGCATGTAATCACGCTCCACCCAACCAACACACACGCGACTCGAGCGAGACTCACGCTTCGGCGGGCTCACATTGCTCCGACGCCATCCATTGATGTGCGAAGCTCTGCGAAATGGCACACGAGCGCTTGCGAATTAGCGTCGTAAGAAGACAGGTCTCGTGACGTATTGAACGCTCTCAAAGCTACCTTTCATCTCTGCTCAACCCGCCTCACCGCCTGCTCGAGCTGGCATGTGTGTTCTTCTTGGTTTAGCGGCAAGGAGGCGCACGAGGGCTCGAGCATAGAACTGCAGCAGCGCTAGCAAGCAGCAGCAGGTGCGGAGTGTAAGGGTGGAGCATCGCTGATGAATCTTCGCACATCGCAACCACGTACGTGCGACACAAGACAAGCACAAGGAAGGCAAGAGATCTTGCCTGCGATCAAGCTTGTTACTCCATAACAGCGCATCCCAACTGAAGACTTCCATCAAAATCTGGCCACAACACCACTGGCAGACTGATCATTAGCGCCGAAAATCCGTAGGTGAGAAGAACTCGCAATTAAGCATTCGCAATGCCTCTAGCTCTCTGCATGCTCCCGGCCGCCGCCCCTCATCCAGAAGATCAAAAGGAAATCGTGAATGTGAGCATTGCAGGTCACAAGGCCATGCAGGGGCGGCAAGACACGCGCGTCCGTCCCAAGGTACGTGCCCTCGCGGGGCACGTTCCCTACAGCCCCCCAAGCACACGAGCGCAACGTGACGGGAATTGAGCCGCATGCACGCATGCTGCACGCCTGGCGCTCGATCTTCCCAGCAGTGCCATGTGCCTAGCGCTCGGACCACCCTTTGCTCCACTTTTTCGCAGTCTTCGAATCTTGAATCCCCTTGTCTACTTGTATACATAGTTGCCGCGAGCCTCTGCACCGCCACACATCCCCCCAGGCTGCGGGTTCGTGACACCGACAGACAGTACGTGAGTGCTGGTGGTGGTAGTCTTCTCCCAATGCGTTTTCAGCCGCACAACGTAAAGCTCCATCCCAACCGCCCGCGTTTTCCCCATCGCAACTACGTGACTTGCCAAATCGCGCCCCCCAATTCGCACAATCTATCGATCGGGGGGGGGGGGGGGGAGGCCCTATGGTGGATGTATAGCGGGTCTGCAGCAGCAGCAGGCTCGCTCACCCACCACCCTTGCATGAGCCCGGTCCCGGGTAGAACGAAGGGCGTGAGAAGAAACTCGATCATGTTTGTTTTGCTTCATGCCCCCACCTGCCTCGAATCGACTCGCGGTCGGTCGGTCGGCCGGACTGGCCAGCCGATTTTTCGCCATGCGAGAACGATAGGAGGCAGAGACGCTCAGTCTTCTGGTGTGGCACTTGACTGCAGCGCGTTCCGAGAGCGAGCCAGCGAGCAACGAGTACAAGCACGCACACACAGAGAAAGCGAGGAAGAATGAAGAGATGTGAAGCCGTTACGATATTCGCTTCTCTATAGTAGGTATGTTACATGAGAATGGCAAGCTTCGGTCGATTGCGGGATGACTTCTGGAGGATGCTTCTTGGGTGCTGGTACGGCGTGGCGAGATGCTAATGACGACAAGGCGCGGACACGCACTACAGGGGGCCCAAGAAAGTCAAGACTTGACTGTGGAAGAAGAGACGAGATAAGAGTCTCTTCAATCGATGTCCATGGCATCGCTGGGCTTTTCGGTTGACCATGTAGCAGAAAGAGTAGATCCCTGTGATTTTTGATGAGTGGCTGCCTCCGTGGAGCTTGCTCGAGTGGTGGGCCAGTGGAGCGGTGAAGTGCCGAAGTGCTGGTATGGATTGGGAGCAGCGCTCTTCAACGCGGCATCGAACTCTGAATGCTCCACCTGCTGCAGATGTGCCGCGGCCTTCGACACGAAAGAGAAGGACGCTGCTGGATGTTGTCGCCTCACAGAGGTTTCGTGAGAGTTGGCAGACGAGCCGCCAGCGGTGGGAGTCCCGAGCAAGTCCTCGGGCCTCTTCCACAATATGAGAGCAGCTGCGCTTTCCTCTCGCGAAGGTAGAACGGTATTCGTCGGCGAGGTAGGTCTTGGAGAGACCGACTGCGATCTTGCTCCGTGACCTCCTGTGACGCTCCCGCTCAAGGGGGAGACGCGTCTCTTGCCCCACTCTCCTGCGTGCAGCCCCAATCTAGCAGCCGCACTGTCCCTGACCAAGGCGGCTTGCAAGTCCTCCAGCTTGGACAGCAACTTTGGATGCACTCGAACGCTCCCATCCTCTGCCCGCGCCCCCGCTTGCGATTCTGTCGACGTTGCTTCTGCGCTGATCTTCTCGCCGCATTCGCTGACTGACCCATCGTCGGATGAAGTGTCACTCAATGTGGTTACGACCACCCGATCTTTTCCCACCTCGTAGCTGGAGGGTCCTCGTCTGATCTTCATTGCTACATCGTCAAGCGTCGTGTGTTCGGCGCTCTGACTGTCGCCAATCATCTCTGATTCGCTGCTGGCTGGATGGATCGTGGAGCCCTGCGAGGGGAAGAGATCCACTTGGGAGCTGGAGCTGAAGTGCGCTGAGGCGGAGTGATCTTTTGTCGGAGAGCTTGGCGGGGCCAAAGGTATGGACTCCTCTTTGAGTTGCAAGTCTGGGCTTAGACACAAGGACATGCCGCTCAAGTTGCGTCCCAGTTCCACCTCTGCTTCAGCGGACAAGTGAGGCCTTTTACGAGGAGGTCGTTCATCGCGAAGAAAAAGCCCGCGCGAATGTAGAGCTTGCCTTTTGGAAGGCGCGCCTTCGAATTCCTCGCCGTCCGCATCCGAGTCTGCGTCATATTCCTATCGAGCATGATCAAAGGTATCAGTGTTGCGATACTGCAATCTTGAAGAGATACCGGCACTCTGATGTGAACTCACATGATCGGAAGGCAGCAGATCTAGGGAATCGCCCGTCTGAGGACTGGCGGATGCTCCTGAAAGGCGTCCGCCTTTTGTGCCTCCATCAAGGCTGTAGGACGAGCCGGTGTGCGAGATGTGTTCCGGCTCATGAGGCAGCCTAGTCGATTGACGAGGTCGCTTGCGCCCGTCGCCAAGAGCTGATGTCGCGCCCACTTTCCAGGACATGATCGAGCGTGGAATCTACTTTCGGATCACCTTGATGAGATCCTCGACATAAGTGACATTCGCGTTGCAGTTTGTCGGTGAGAGGCGATCGCGCATCGGTGATGGCTACATTCGGGATGTATGCGGTGGCACGAGACCGCCCAAAACAAGAAAGGCTGGATATACAGTGCGTTGCGATGCCAGGACTTGTCGGGGCTGCTCTTTGAGGATTAGATACACATCACTGAACGTGACAAAGCGTTACGAATGTGAGAAGCAACTTGAGCAGTCTCGGATTGTCCAGAACGGCGTTGCTCCAAGCGCCGCTGGAGTGCGTTTTGGATTTGGGGAGAATGCCGCGGCGTCTTGGAGCAGACGGTGATCGCATCTACATCGATGCTTTGATGTGTGTGTGTGAACAGGCTCAAACAGCCGTGCCGAAGATGAGGGCCCCGAGTGCGGGACGAAGGGCTGAGAGCCGGCAGATGCTTGTCGAAGAAGACCACCTGATACGAATTTGAAAATGAGGAAGACTTGAAATCACAGCGGTGAACATGGTGCGTGGATGCGAATCGGGAAATCGAAATCGTGAACAAATGATGAAATGAGTCGTGAGTCAGAAGTCACGACGCCGCCGCGGCTCACGTGAGCTGCGACTCTCTCATCACGTGCGAGACTCACACTCAATACAATTTATCAATACTCCAGACTCGTGACTCGTTATAGACTCAAGACTGTCCTGCAACGGATCGGCTCTTCGGAGACCGCCGCCATGGGCGGCTCTACTCCAAAGGGATTGGACACTCAGCGATAAAGCGGAACAATTGTGAGTGAGCAAAGGTCAGTCAGTGCTCTCCATCAGCATGGATAGTACCACTCGTCGCGTGAGCTGCACGGTGTGCCTTTAGCATCGCATCGCATCGCATCCGCCTCTCCCCTCTCCATCCCATTCGAGCGTGGCTTGAAATGCCATGGCAGTTCAAGACTCGCTCCTCTTCTTCGCGATTCAATCGCAATATCGACGCTTTGATTCGGCACACTAAAGGCGCAAGCAAAGCGCGAACGTCAACGCTCATTCATCATGGAATCACGAGACACGAGTGTGCCCGCTGAAAACCAACAGCTCGATCGTGATCGATTCGCGGTCGATAAGTGCGTTCCTTCACCTCTTCGCTGCGTCAGTTCGGCGATTTCTATCAAACTACGCGAGCAGTTGCGCCTATTGCATTTCAGAATCAGCTCTCCTTAGCTCGAAACCTCACCGGCATGATGCGTGCATCCATATGCACGCCAGCGATTCGCCGTAGAGGTGGTGTAGTAGTAGTACGTGGTCAAGGGGTAGATAGAGCACAGTGTAGAGCATCGTGCCGTGCGTAGCTCATCTGCATTGGCCGCGCGATGAGTTTGCGAAGTCAAAGTGGCGGATTCGAATGGACGGCTTGCACATCGTTCGTTGCATGATGACAGCGAGGCACAAACCGGGCACCGATGCGCCGGCATTGTGATTCGCGGCGCGAGAGCGTGCATTGCGGAGGCGGGATCCAGCTCTCGCACGCGCCACCTGCATGGGCAGTGCAGTGAATTCGTGAATCAGGAATCGTGAATCGTGAGTACTTTGACTCATCGTGATCGACGACTCTTGACTGTAATCGCATTCCCGCCTTGTGGTCCGTGCAGCGATAGCAATTCAAAATCATACGCTGCAGTCTTTCCGTGCTCGCACGCGCGGAGGTCCGGCCGTTCACAGCAGCAGCGATCACGAGTCACGTCACAGCGCACACATAACAGAGTCGCCTGCTTCATCGCCCAGGCGCAAGGATCAGAATAAGCCCTTCACCAACTTGCTGACCCGCAATCATCAATCAGCCTGCTGGAGCGAGCGAACGCCGCCCGCTCCACCGAAGCCATTCTCAAGTTCAATCAAGAATGTGAATGTGAAGTTTGAATGCTGATGCTTCATTGCAACGGCTGCAAAAGCCGACTTGACACCTGCATGCTGCTCATACCTCGATCGATGTAGCTGGAACTTCGCCAGCCAGCGGCCAGCATGTGAAGTCGAGACCAGGCGCTGCATGTCATGCAAGCTGCTGCTGCTGTGCAGAGTGGGGAAGAGCCAAAGGCCAGAACTTGCTCTTCCAGCTGAAATGGGCAGCGCATTTGCTGGCGTTCGATCGCGATCGACCGACCGATGAGGTGGTTTGCATGCAAGTGATTTCAATCGTCACTCATCATCTTGTTGAATCTTGATCTGAGCGCACGCACCGCGCGCCGCCGTGGCGCCGTATCGCCGTGCATCAGCCATGCAGCCCGCGACGTTCGTCTCGCCATGAGCTGCCAAGGAGCTGGCATCTCTGCTGCAGAGTTAGCCGAGATGAGAGGCGCTAGAGGAGAGACTCTTTCGGTGTTGAGATTTGAACTCCTTGATGCACGAAATGTCACCGTTGCGGTGTGGAGCCGCGGTGTTGTTGTGCGTACAGAGGGTGCCTGAGACAAGGCAGACGTGCCCGCGTCAATTGATGCTGTACCAAAAGATTCATGATGGATTGGCGCCAAGTGTGGCACGCCGTAGCCACAAACCAGATCAAATCAGTCGTCCGTCGTCCGTCGTCAGTCGTCTGACGGCCTCGGCCCGAGCGGCCATGGCATATCTGCACCCGCCATCAGACGCCAGCGGGCTGGCTTGCCATAAACGCACGCAGCTCGCGCGCACTGCGCCGCACGTTGCTGTTAGTTCACGATTCGTGATTGCTGCTGCTGCTGCTGCTGCTCGTTCGCTCACTCAGACTGCGCCCCTGGACAGCGAATCGTGTCAAGAAGCAGCCTTGGTTCTGATCATCCTTTGGTGTGCGCGGTTAGGCATGTCATTCCCTTCTTCACCACCACCACCACCATCGCACGCACTTCACACAGGATCTCTCGTCGGCCACATCATCTCTCCGCATTGCGTACGCAAGCAACACTACACACTTGATTTCGCGCTTGTCATCCCTTGAGTCTCGAGATGTCTTTTCTTCGCTCTGCTCTTCCCGCCACCCGAGGCGCTCTGCGCACCGGTGCTGCCTCTTCGGCAGTGCCAAAGTTCGCAACCGCCTCCAAGGCTGGACTTGCTTCTCCCATGGCTCCTCGCAACTTTGTTACCTGGTTCCCCACTTCTGAGCCTCGTCTCTCCGAAGTCCAGCAAAACCCTGGTCCTCCCCCTCCCGTCGAGAACATTGGTGTCGATGCCGTGTGAGTACAGAACGAAGGGGAAAGGTTTCTGGGTGCTCCTTGTTGGCGGTGCCGCAATTGCGGCAGTCTACGCGCCGTGCGATGCTGTTACACAGCGAGAGGCGTACGAGGAGACAAACGCCTTGCACAGCTCGTTTTGTCCCGGTGGTCAAAGCGACGACGCCGCTGGCAGGCAAGAACAAGCAAGAGCAGCTCAGGGAAGCGAGTGCATCCGCGGCCTCGAAAGCGCTTTCGCTCGAGCGCCTGCGCGGGACGTGCATAAGCTTTTCCGCGCAGGGAGCTGTCTGCTCGCGCGGCAGCCGCCACCGCCTCCACTTTGCGGCAGGTGGGGAAGCCGCGCGCGCACAGAGGCGCAAAGCAGCAAATCCTCGCAGCGATATAGGCGCAGCCTTGTCATTCCTTTTGAAGAGGTCTCAGTTCCCATCTTGCTGACACATTCATGATCAATTGGGATCCGCGTACAGTCTGCGTCAAAACCCCAACGACCCTCACACCCACACCACGACCATCTTCTCCGAGTTCTCCCTTGAGGGCAAGACTGCAGTCGTGACTGGAGGAAACGGTGGTTTGGGTGAGTTGGCGTCACGGTGCTTGGCGTGCGCGTGCGCTCTGCATATCGGCAAAGCGCGGCATTTGAAAGCTGCGCTGGCGGCGGATGATGAACAGCTGCAGTAGAGCACTAGCTCATAATTCGAAAACTTCGCCCCGCGGACCGCTTATCTGACAGGTCTGGAGATGGCTTTGGCTTTCGTAAGTGCTGCATGCTGTATTTTGAATGAGCTCCACGGGTTGACACTGATGCACGAGATCGAATTGTTAGGTTGAGGCTGGTGCGCACGTGTACGCTATCGACGTGCCAGAGCAGCCCGGAGAGGAATTCAAGATTGTCGCCGAGCACTGTCGTATCATGAACCGCGACTTGAAGTGAGTCTTAGTGGCAGTCCCTCTGGTCCATCCAGGCTTCTCGTAGCGCGAGCTGACTTGGGTGTTTCGCGACTCCTGCCCCCACTCCCCAGGTACATCTCTGCTTCGGTCACTGACGACAAGGACATCAACGATGTGATGGAATTCATCGTTGGCGACTCTGGCACAGGCACTTTGGACATTGCTGTGGCTGTGAGTATTTGTTCTCGCTCTTCATTGCGTGTCTGACCGCTGACCGCCTTGGTGCAATGTATCGCAGGCCGCTGGTATTCTTGGCACTCACGATGCTCTGGTGTACCCAGTAGAGGACTTCAAGAAGGTGAGTTCATCAGGGTACAGCGCAACAATTGACTTCGAGTTGATTCACATCTGCTTTTCATGCCACAGATCTTCGATGTCAACACCACTGGTGTCTTCTTGACTGCACGTGCAGCAGCCCGTCAAATGTACAAGCAAAAGGAGGTTCAAGGCTCGATCATCCTCATTGCCTCCATGTCCGGCTCCATTGTCAACCGTGACCACCATTGGGTTGCATACAACGCCTCCAAGTCTGCCGTTCTCCAAATGGGCCGTAACTTGGCCGCTGAGTGGGGTCCCCACAACATCCGAGTCAACTGCATCTCTCCTGGTCACATCCGCACCCGCATGACCAGTGTCTACTTGGATGCCAACCCTCACCTGCTTGCCAAGTGGTCCACCTCCAACCCTCTCGGACGTCTGGGTAGATCCGCAGAGATGCGCGGTGTCGCCGTCTGGCTTGCTTCCCCTGCTTCCAGCTTCTGTAATGGATCCGACATCATTGTGAGTGTCTTCCGCAAGATTGGATTCGACGATTGGAAAAGTCGAGATGTGGCTGATTCATGCTGTGCCCACATCACAGGTCTCTGGTGGTCACCAAATCTGGTAAGAGCAGATTCCTCAAGACAATATGCAAAGAGGTGGGTTCAAACGCCTTGCGTCTGCGTCCACTCGTTGCGCCATTCTGATGACGCGATTCATCTTTGCAGCCCACATCACCAAAGCAAGACATTCCTCATTCTCTCTCTGGCTTCGTTGGCCCCTCCGCAAGCCGTACCTCATCCAACATTCTCAGGCCCAAACACGAGCCTTGTTCGTGATGGCGTCCCGTCGGAGGAGCGAGCGTTGTTGAATGCATTTCGCAAATCCGTGATCTCAAGAATGATCAGACACTTCAGACCGCGCCTATTGCCCACTGATGTTCATTGTGAATTGGCTGGGCGATTGTGCGAGCGCAAAAGGTAATGTGCCCAGCTTCCCCGTCCTCTGGTGGAAGTCGAGGTGGGGGCGTGGCAGTGCGAGCATGTAAGGCGGATGGTGCAGATGACGTTTTGAGAGAGTCTTTTGCGCTCGAGATTGATCTGCAACCTTCAAAAGATGTTCGAGCAGCATGGAGATGAATCTTTCTGATAGCCGTGGTGCGAGGAACTGCGTTCAAAGTCCAACGCATGCTGATGAGCATTCAATTGAATGAAGAATGAGCTGTCACGAGTTCACGGGTTCACGAGTTCTGGCCCATTGTAACACGTGATCTTCCTTTCGGTCTCCCGTGTGGCCCGTGCGCTTCATGCGGCGTTCGCGTAGATCGAGTTGGATGAATTGCCGCACATGCGTTGGGTGCGGGTGGAGAGAGGCGGCCTGCAGAACGAGGTGTGCAAAAGTTGCGTATTGCCTTAGAGCACGTCGATGTCGGGAGGGGGGGCTCGCAATACAGCATCTTGCCCGACTTGACTCGATCGTGGACTCTATCATCCTGATTTCGCACTGCGCCACGAAACGAAAGAGGAAATCGCCGCGTTCTTGGCAAGATTTTCTGCTTGCGCGTCTTATTGGAGCGGTTCTCTTTCTTATCGTCTTGGTGAATCACCGGCAAGACCGGCGCACTGCGGAGAAAGACGTGTGGGGAGTCCACCAGGCACGAGCTTGGAAGAGGGAGTTTGGCGAACGACTTGGCCGGCTCAACTTGGACAAGATCGAGGAAGGACCAATTGGAAGGCCAAGTCATTCGAGCGACTTTTGTTCCTTCCCTCTCTTCATCCTGGCCCCCCCCTCATCATGCTCGCACGCAGCGCCTTTTGTCCCTTTACGTTTTCCGGAGCTTCTCCCTCCATCCAGCTCAGATCGACTTGTCCATCCTTCTCTCGCTGCTCTTCTTCGAAAAGAGCCTTTTGGGCCTCTGCAGCAGCGCACCAAGAGGGAGATGCGCGAGGCCAAAAAGTGACGGGATTGGTGTATGAGAAGCATGGAGAGCCGCAAGAGGTTGTCAAGGCGCATAGCTGGCGATTGCACAGTCTCAAAGAGGGTGAGGTGGGAGTAAAGATGAGGTTGGCCAGTGTGAACCCGGCGGATATAAATGTGTGCGTGGATGTGTGTGTGTGTGGGGAAGGGGCGCCGAGCTGGGTACAGCTTGTGCGGGGGGTCCAACTTTCGCTGAAGATGCACGCACGCATACACCCTTCTTCCTCCACCTCCCCTCCCTCCTTCTCATCGCTTCTCTTGCCACCCTCCCAATCCGCTGGCGTATTGGAATTTGCAACCTTGGAAGATTGCAAGGCGTCTATCCCTCTGTACCCTCCCCGAGAGATATTCCGGGCTTACAAACCCCGCACAGGGTAGGAGGCAATGAGGGACTGGGCGAGGTGCAAGAGCTGGATGAGAAGGGTCGACAAGCAGGTCTCAAAGAGGGAGATTGGGTCATCTTTGGCAAACCACAAGTGAGCGTTGCAGATCGTTGCAAAATTTTGCGCTTTCTATTTGCTTGGCGAGGAGTGGATGCGGATGCGACACCACGCTCGCTTTGATCTCGGATCTTGTCTGGATGGGTGCGCGGCTGACCCGACTTGATTGGCTGACCTGACCCACCCCCCCACCCCCCCCCCCCCCC